TAGTATTGTTTTCATGGATGGATGGATCCCTTAGCAGTCACATGTAGGCTTGCTTTCATGGATGGATGGATGGATGGATGGATGTAAAATGCTGGATTGCTTTTAAAGAGATAGATAGATAGATAGATAGATAGATAGATAGATAGATAGATAGATAGATAGATTCGATGGCGGTCAAATGTAGTTTTGTTTTCAGGAATAGAGGGATGGCTGGATGGCTGGCTAGATGGATAGACTGATAGCTAGATGGACCACTTGGCAGTCAAATGCAGGATTCCTTTCATTCATAGATAGATAGATAGATAGATAGATAGATAGATAGATAGATAGATAGAACACGAGAAAGAGAAAAAATAAATAGATGGATGATAAAAGGGGGAGAGACAGGAGGAGGGAATGAGGGGAAGAGATAAAATCCATCAGCTGGACAGAAAAATAGATGGATAGAAAGACACAGTGAGAAGAACCTATGAAAACATCAAAAAAATGGGTGGCTTGAAAGAATCATAGAATCAAAGAGTTGGAAGAGACCTCCTGGGCCATCCAGTCCAACCCCATTCTGCCAAGAAGCAGGAATATTGCATTCAAATCACCCCTGACAGATGGCCATCCAGCCTCTGTTTAAAAGCTTCCAAAGAAGGAGCCTCCAACACACTCCGGGGCAGAGAGTTCCACTGCTGAACGGATCTCACAGTCAGGAAGCTCTTCCTCATGTTCAGATGGAATCTCCTCTCTTGTAGTTTGAAGCCATTGCTCCATTGCGTCCTAGTCTCCAGGGAAGCAGAAAACAAGAGAGAGAAATAGATCCCATGAAAACAACAGAAAAATAGATGGGTTGATAGATAGACAGATAGAAAGAGAGGGAAAAGAACTCATGAAAATTTCAGGAAAAATGGATGGGTGGATGGAGATAGATAGATCCCATGAGATTGACAGAAAATAGATGATAGATAGATGATAGATAGATAGATAGATAGATAGATAGATAGATAGATCCTACAAAAAGGAAAGAGAGGTGGGTGGGTGGGTGGGTGGATGGATGGATGGATGGAGATAGATATAGATAGATAGATAGATAGATAGATAGATAGATAGATAGATAGATAGATGATAGATAGATAGATAGATAGATAGATAGAGATAGATAGATAGATAGATAGATAGATAGATAGATAGATAGATAGACAGCTCCCATGAAACGGAAAGAGAGATGGATACAATACAATAAAATAATAAAATAAAATAACAAAATAATACAATAAAATAATGAAATACAATACACAGGATGAAGTGATGATGATGATGATGATGATGATGGTGATATTATTTCTAGACTGCCCTCTCTCTCTCCCCAAAGACACTCAGGGCAGTTTACAGACACAAAACATAAGGCAAACATGCAATGCTTCAAATGAGTAGAAAGACATCAAAATCACAGATCTGTCAATCTGCTATGGAGCTCTAGACCTCCCTAGCAAAATAACATAAATGATACAAAGTAAACTACACTAAAAATAAATAAAATTAAATAAAAATGTATAAACGAACTGAAAGACTTTGCAGGGCTGCATCATCCCAATGCACTTGCCTTTGCAGACTATAAAATGAAACAAAAATATATCTAAAAGCTTCCTTGCTCCCAAATGCCACCCCAAAGAGCCAATGGGTCTCCTAGAGGGCATCTAGACCATCTCTGGGGCATCTAGGCCATCTAGACTGGGTCCTCTAGAGAGCATCTAGACCATCTAAACTGGGTCCCCTAGAGGGCATCTAGACCATCTAGAGGGCATCTAGACCATCTAGACTGTGTCCCCTAGAGGGCATCTAGACTATCTCTGGGGCATCTAGACCATCTAGAGGGCATCTAGACCATCTAGACTGGGTCCCCTAGAGGGCATCTAGACCATCTCTGGGGCATCTAGACCATCTAGACTGGGTCCCCTAGAGGGCATCTAGACTATCTAAACTGGGTCCCCTAGAGGGCATCTAGACCATCTTTGGGGCATCTAGACCATCTAGACTGGGTCCTTTAGAGGCCATCTACACAATCTCTAGGGCATCTAGACCATCTAGAAGGAATCTAGACAATCTATACTGGGTCCCCTAGAGGGGATCTAGACAATCTCTGGGGCATCTAGACCATTCTAGAGGGCATCTAGACCATCTAGACTGGGTCCCCTATAGGATATCTAGACCATCTCTGGGGCATCTAGACCATTCTAGAGGGCATCTAGACCATCTAGACTGGGTCCCCTAGAGGGCACCTAGACCATCTAAACTGGTTCCCCTATAGGGCATCTAGACCATCTCTGAGGCATCTAGACCATCTAGAGGGCATCTAGACCATCTAAACTGGTTCCCCTAGAGGAACTAGACCATCTCTGGGGCATCTAGACCATTTAGAGGGCATCTAGACCATCTAGACCATCTTTGGGGCTTTCCTTGGCCGTTTTAGTCCCGGGAGAGGCCTTATTTTAAGAACAAGAAGTGACCTAACTTCCTGCTCACTTCCTTTTGCAAAAACCGTTTCTTAAATTGTCCCCAAAAACATCCTCCAAAAATGTGGTTAAGAAAGCCCTCCAAACTGAGTCTAATATATATACATAAATTGAGGAACAAAAAATTAAAATATCTTTATGACATATTTTTTTAACCAGGGGAGGGAGACAAGATTATTATTTATTTATTTATTTTATTATTTACTTCTCTTATATACCGCAATTCTCAGCCCAAGGGCGACTATTATTATTATTATTATTATTATTATTATTAACTTTCATTTTGACTTTTGCATTGTTTTCAATGTGAATTATTTTACTATTTTGATAGCTGCCCTGAGTAACACCGTGGAAGGGCTATAAATGGATAGAACAACAACCACAACCACAACCACAACAAACAATTCACCTTTTCTAACACTATTAAAATAAATAATATGAAAATCTAGGAATTGTAGTAATAATAATAACAACAACATCTGTTTCACAGTTCAGACTAAATCCAGTAGCAGAGAAACAACCAGCCATAAATGCAAAAAGCAAATCTAAAATGTCTGAGGACATTCTCTTTTCAAAATGCAACCAATAACATGCAGTTTGCACCAGAGAAGGTAAATGACCTTGTCGAACCGCAACTTCCACTGTGTTCCTGCCTAGTTTAATGGGGATGGGATAGATGGCCTTTGAGGGTCCCTTTCCTGGAAGCAAACTCTGTTAGATACCCACAGCTTGCTATATTCCTGAATGGGGATGGGATAGACGGCCTTTGGGGGTCCCTTTCCTGGAGTTAAACTCTATCAGAGATTCATTGCTTACTATATTCCTGAATGAGGACAGGACAGATGGTCTTTGGGGGCCCTTTCCTGGAACCAAATTCTATACCCATGACCTACTATATTCCTGAATGGGGATTGGATAGATGGCCTTTGGGAGTCTCTTTCCTTGAACTGAACTCTCTCAGATACCCATGGCTTATATTCCTGAATGAGGACAGGACAGATGGCCTTTGGGAGTCTTTTTCCTGGAACCAAATTCTATCAGGGACCTGTGGCTTAATATATTTCTGAATGGGATGGGATAGATGGCCTTTGAGGGTCCCTTTCCTGGAAGCAAACTCTATTCAGAAACCCATGGCTTACTATATTTCTGAATGGAAACAAGATAGATGGCCTTTGGGAGTCCCTTTCCTCGAACCAAAGTGTATCAGAGACCCATGGATTACTATATTCCTGAATGGGGATGGGATAAATGACCTTTAGGGGTCCCTTTCCTGGAATCAAACTCTAGCAGAGACCCATGGCTTACTATATTCCTGAATGGGGATGGGCTAGATGGCCTTTGGGGGTCCCTTTCCTGGAACCAAACTCTATTCAGAAACCCATGGCTTACTATATTCCTGAGTGGGGATGGGATAGATGGCCTTTGGGGGTTCCTTTCCTGGAACCAAACTCTATTCAGAGACCCATGGCTTACTATATTCCTGAGTGGGGATGGGATAGATGGCCTTTGGGAGTATCTTTCCTGGAACCAAAGTCTATTCAGAGACCCATGGCTCACTATATTCCTGAATGGGATGGGATGGCCTTTGGAGGTCCCTTTCCAGAACCAAACTCTAGCAGAGAGCCATGGCTTACTATATTCCTGAATGGGATGGGATAGATGACCTTTGGGGGTCCCTTTCCTGGAGCCAAACTCTATCAGAGATTCATTGCTTACTATATTCCTGAATGGAGATGGGATAGATGGCCTTTGGGGGTCCCTTTCCTCGAACCAAAGTGTATCAGAGACCCATGGATTACTATATTCCTGAATGGGGATGAGATAGATGACCTTTAGGGGTCCCTTTCCTCAGACCAAATTCTATCAGATACCCATGGCTTACTATATTCCTGAATGGGGATGGGATAGATGGCCTTTGGAGGTCCCTTTCCTGAACCAAACTCTAGCAGAGACCCATGGCTTACTATATTCCTGAATGGGGATGAGATAGATGACCTTTAGGGGTCCCTTTCCTCAAACCATATTCTATCAGAGACCCATAGCTTACTATATTCATGAAAGAGGATGGGATAGATGACCTTTAGGGGTCCCTTTCCTGGAGCCAAACTCTATCAGAGATTCATTGCTTACTATATTCCTGAATGAGGACAAGACAGATGACCTTTAGGGGTCCCTTTCCTGGAAGCAAACTCTATTCAGAAACCCATGGCTTACTATATTCCTGAATGGGGATGGGATAGATGGCCTTTGAGGGTCCCTTTCCTGAACCAAACTCTAGCAGAGACCCATGACTTACTATATTCCTGAATGGGGGTGGGATAGATGACCTTTAGGGATCCTCTTTTCTAGAACCAAACCTTATAGGCATTGAAAGCTTGTGATACACTTGTAAGGTCCAGCAATCTTCCTGAGCCCTACCCATCCCACTTCCTGCATTTTTCAAACCCGAAACGTCCTTAAAAGACATTTAAAAATCCCAGAAAATACAGGTAATTCACCAACCTGGCTGGCTTTGGCTTCCTTTGGCCCGGTTATGGGATCGGCGTAAACCCGAAGTCCCTGCTTGCCTTCTGCCGAAAACTTCCGCCCTCGTCTTTGGGGGATTTCTGCTTGCAAGACCTTTCCTTTTGCCGAAAACCACAGATGAGGAACTGGATTGAAAGCAGAGAGAAGAAGCAAAGGAAGGGTGTGAACAAAAGTCACGCTGCGGAGCAGCAAAAACACAACTGTGTGCCAAACGGGGAAAGAAGGCCTTTGCCCTCCAAGGAAGGGTCTCGGGACAGAGAAGGAATCCCCTAATGATTGACCAAGGCGGTGGGAGCCTGAGAGTTGTAGTTTTGCAAGCTCTTCAGCCTTCTCTGCAGAACAATCCCCAACAAAAGGAATTATTATTATTATTATTATTATTATTATTATTATTATTATTATGTGAAACACAACAAGATGAGTCCACAGCAGACACTCTGCTGGCTGTTGTATTGGGTCACACATCGGACACAGTGTCTAGGATTGTGTGATGTATAGGCGAATAATGCACACATTATTATTATTATTGTTATTATTATTATTATTATTATTATTATTGTTATTATTATTATTATTATTATTATTAGAAACACAACAAGATGAGTCCACAGCAGACACTCTGCTGGCTGTTGTATTGGGTCACACATCGGACACAGTGTCTAGGATTGTGTGATGTATAGGCGAATAATGCACACATTATTATTATTATTATTATTATTGTTATTATTATTATTATTATTATTAGAAACACAACAAGATGAGTCCACAGCAGACACTCTGTTGGTTGTTGTATTGGATCACACGTCGGACACTTCCCAAGTGTCTAGGATTGTGTGATGTATCAGCGAATAATGCATTATTATTATTATTATTATTATTATTATTATTGTTATTATTGTTATTATTATTATTTGAAACAACAAGGAGTCCACAGCAGACACTCTGCTGGCTGTTGTATTGGATCACGTCGGACACTTCCAAGTGTCTAGGATTGTGTGATGTATGGCGAATAATATTATTATTTATTATTATTATTATTATTATTATTATTTGAAACACAACAAATGAGTCCACAGAAGACACTCTGCTGGTTGGTGTATTGGATCACACGTCGGACTTCCCAAGTGTCTAGGACTGTGTGATGTATGATATTATTATTATTATTATTATTATTATTATTATTATTAGAAACACAACAAGATGAGTCCACAGCAGACACTCTGTTGGTTGTTGTATTGGATCACACGTCGGACACTTCCCAAGTGTCTAGGATTGTGTGATGTATCGGCGAATAATGCATTATTATTATTATTATTATTATTATTATTATTATTATTATTTGAAACACAACAAGGTGAGTCCACAGCAGACACTCTGTTGGTTGTTGTATTGGATCACACGTCGGACACTTCCCAAGTGTCTAGGATTGTGTGATGTATCGGCGAATAATGCATTATTATTATTATTATTATTATTATTATTATTATTAGAAACACAACAAGATGAGTCCACAGCAGACACTCTGTTGGTTGTTGTATTGGATCACACGTCGGACGCTTCCCAAGTGTCTAGGATTGTGTGATGTATCGGCGAATAATGCATTATTATTATTATTATTATTATTATTATTATTAGAAACACAACAAGATGAGTCCACAGCAGACACTCTGTTGGTTGTTGTATTGGATCACACGTCGGACACTTCCCAAGTGTCTAGGATTGTGTGATGTATCGGCAAATAATGTGTGCATTATTATTATTATTATTATTATTATTATTATTAGAAACACAACAAGATGAGTCCACAGCAGACAATCTGTTGGTTGTTGTATTGGATCACACGTCGGACGCTTCCCAAGTGTCTAGGATTGTGTGATGTATCGGCGAATAATGCATTATTATTATTATTATTATTATTATTATTATTTGAAACACAACAGATGAGTCCACAGCAGACACTCTGTTGCTGTTGTATTGGATCACACGTCGGACACTTCCCAAGTGTCTAGGACTGTGTGATGTATGGGTATTATTATTATTATTATTATTATTATTATTATTAGAAACACAACAAGGTGAGTCCACAGCAGACACTCTGTTGGTTGTTGTATTGGATCACACGTCGGACACTTCCCAAGTGTCTAGGATTGTGTGATGTATCGGCAAATAATGTGTGCATTATTATTATTATTATTATTATTATTATTATTATTTGAAACACAACAGGATGAGTCCACAGCAGACACTCTGTTGGCTGTTGTATTGGGTCACACATCGGACACAGTGTCTAGGATTGTGTGATGTATAGGCGAATAATGCACACATTATTATTATTATTATTATTATTATTATTATTATTATTATTATTATTATTATTAGAAACACAACAAGGTGAGTCCACAGCAGACACTCTGTTGGTTGTTGTATTGGATCACACGTCGGACACTTCCCAAGTGTCTAGGATTGTGTGATGTATCGGCGAATAATGCATTATTATTATTATTATTATTATTATTATTATTTGAAACACAACAAGATGAGTCCACAGCAGACACTCTGCTGGCTGTTGTATTGGATCACACGTCGGACACTTCCCAAGTGTCTAGGATTGTGTGATGTTATCGGCGAATAATGCATTATTATGATGATGATGATGATTATTATTATTATTAGAAACACAACAAGATGAGTCCACAGCAGACACTCTGCTGGCTGTTGTATTGGATCACACGTCAGACACTTCCCAAGTGTCTAGGACTGTGTGATGTATCGGCGAATAATGCATTATTATTATTATTATTATTATTATTATTTGAAACACAACAAGGTGAGTCCACAGCAGACACTCTGTTGGTTGTTGTATTGGATCACACGTCGGACACTTCCCAAGTGTCTAGGATTGTGTGATGTATCGGCGAATAATGCATTATTATTATTATTATTATTATTATTATTATTATTAGAAACACAACAAGATGAGTCCACAGCAGACACTCTGTTGGTTGTTGTATTGGATCACACGTCGGACACTTCCCAAGTGTCTAGGATTGTGTGATGTATCAGCAAATAATATTATTATTATTATTTATTATTATTATTATTATTATTATTATTATTATTATTTGAAACACAACAAGGTGAGTCCACAGCAGACACTCTGTTGGTTGTTGTATTGGATCACACGTCGGACACTTCCCAAGTGTCTAGGATTGTGTGATGTATCGGCGAATAATGCATTATTATTATTATTATTATTATTATTATTATTATTATTATTAGAAACACAACAAGATGAGTCCACAGCAGACACTCTGTTGGTTGTTGTATTGGATCACACGTCGGACACTTCCCAAGTGTCTATTATTATTATTATTATTATTATTATTATTATTATTATTATTATTATTAGAAACACAACAAGATGAGTCCACAGCAGACACTCTGTTGGTTGTTGTATTGGATCACACGTCGGACACTTCCCAAGTGTCTAGGATTGTGTGATGTATCAGCGAATAATGCATTATTATTATTATTATTATTATTATTATTATTATTGTTATTATTGTTATTATTATTATTATTATTATTTGAAACACAACAAGGTGAGTCCACAGCAGACACTCTGTTGGTTGTTGTATTGGATCACACGTCGGACACTTCCCAAGTGTCTAGGATTGTGTGATGTATCGGCGAATAATGCATTATTATTATTATTATTATTATTATTATTATTATTAGAAACACAACAAGGATGAGTCCACAGCAGACACTCTGTTGGTTGTTGTATTGGATCACACGTCGGACACTTCCCAAGTGTCTAGGATTGTGTGATGTATCGCGAATAATGCATTATTATTATTATTATTATTATTATTATTATTATTATTATTATTATTATTATGAAACACAACAAGGTGAGTCCACAGCAGACACTCTGTTGGTTGTTGTATTGGATCACACGTCGGACACTTCCCAAGTGTCTAGGATTGTGTGATGTATCGGCGAATAATGCATTATTATTATTATTATTATTATTATTATTATTATTATTATTAGAAACACAACAAGATGAGTCCACAGCAGACACTCTGCTGGCTGTTGTATTGGATCACACGTCGGACACTTCCCAAGTGTCTAGGATTGTGTGATGTATCGGTGGGTGATTTATTATTATTATTATTATTATTATTATTATTAGAAACACAACAAGATGAGTCCACAGCAGACACTCTGTTGGTTGTTGTATTGGATCACACGTCGGACACTTCCCAAGTGTCTAGGATTGTGTGATGTATCGGCGAATAATGCATTATTATTATTATTATTATTATTATTATTATTATTATTATTTGAAACACAACAAGGTGAGTCCACAGCAGACACTCTGTTGGTTGTTGTATTGGATCACACGTCGGACACTTCCCAAGTGTCTAGGATTGTGTGATGTATCGGCGAATAATGTGATTATTATTATTATTATTATTATTATTATTATTATTAGAAACACAACAAGGTGAGTCCACAGCAGACACTCTGTTGGTTGTTGTATTGGATCACACGTCGGACACTTCCCAAGTGTCTAGGACTGTGGGATGTATTGGCGAATAATGTGTGCATTATTATTATTATTATTGTTTATTAATTAATTTATTTATTAACTTTATTTGTACTCCGCTAGCATCTCCCGAAGGACTCGATGCGGCTTACACAGGCCGAAGCCTCAGAACACAATACAGTAAAAAACATAACACAACAATAAACAAAGCAAATCAAATAGTTAAGCAAAATAACAACAACAGTAACAATACATCAAGACACTTTAAAACTGGGCCGGCCAGCGCAATGGGGTACAGGGTTAAAAGTGCTGGAATGGCAGGAGGAACGTAGGATTAAAATAGTGCGGTGTGCAGCAATATTAATTGTACTAAAATGCTTCTAGGACTTGGGATGGGGGAATTCCTAATCTGAGAAGGCACATCGGAACAGCCAAGTTTTTAGGTTCTTTCTGAAAGCTGCTAAAGTAATGCTACCCCTCTATTCTGCTTTGGTTAGACCACAGCTGGAATATTGTGTCCAATTCTGGGCACCACAATTCAAGAGAGATATTGACAAGCTGGAATGTGTC